CCACATACACTCTGATTGGACAAAAACACACACACATGGACTGGCCAGATTCTACATTACAGTAACGTTACTGCAAGTTCAAGTACAAAGAAGTACGATTGATTGCGGGATTTGAACCCGGGGCATTAGCAACGCCGCTACATATCTCAACCACGACACTGTTGGAGCTGATATATCTGTTTGAACTTTACACTATATTAGTGCGAATTATAACACTGTGAGCACGACACCGTTGTTTATGCCTTTGGTGTCGACTCGCAAAGCAACTTAAGCCATGGATTACACTACCTGAAATGATAGTACTAGTATTGTGCTACTATGACAGTTCGGTTCTAGATAGATGTGCCTCACGTGTAGTGGTACAGGTTGCTTAGTGCAAAGTGGGTTTACGTGCTGGTACAGTACACTGTTTTCGCATGGATGTGCGTGCATTGGGGTTTGGGTGCATACCGAAGCGAATTCTAAAGTACAGTTGTTAGATGTACGGCATTATGGATAGCCTCGAAGCTAGTGTACACCTAGAACTACTCGTCGTAGGGTATACACTTTTGTTGCCGTTGAAGGCATGCTATGCACTGGTACTAGAGTCGGCGCAGCGTGTGTTAGCTACCCGGTAGAGTTTACATGCATTGTAGGCATGGCTGGGTACATACTAGTTAGTATACATGTGAAATACTAGTACACTAGAATGATGTTCGTGTTGCTGAGATGTTCTACTGGTACCGTATGTAGCAAACTCACGAATGTGGTGAAAAGGCAACTACATGATGGTCCATCGTCCCGACACCGCTACTCGTCTGAAGCCAATATCATGGTGTGCATGCACCGTATAATTGCTGTTCTTGCTGCTGGCTTTGATTATTGACAGTAATAGGTAATCCCCCACCCCCTTGCTGCTAGCTGCGGTCAAACAGACAGTTTACTCCGTGCTAATCATGCAAGCTATATAACTTCTGAGGGGGGCATTGAAGCTATGGCGGGGCATAGTACAGTAGTTGAGGGGGAGTATCGTAGCTGAGGGGAAGTATAGTAGCTGAAGGGAAGCATAGTAGCTGAGGGGAAGCATAGCAGCTGAGGGTGTGAATAGTGATTATACTATGTACGTAATACCCTGGACGACCTCTCTGGCTTTGATTAGTGACATTAATAGTGAATCCCCCATCCCTCCTGCTGCCCCCTCAACTACTGTACTATGCTCCCCCTTAGCTTCAATGCCCCCCTCAGAAGTTATATAGCTATGCAAGTTATATAGCCTGCATAGCTATATAACTTCTGAGTAGCTGAGGGGGAGCATAGTAGCTGAGGGGAAGCATAGTAGCTGAGGGTGTGAATACTGATTATACTATGTACGTAATACCCTGGACGATCTCTCTGGCTTTGATTAGTGATAGTATTAGTGAATCCCCCATCCCCCCTGCTGCCCCCTCAACTACTGTACTATGATCCCCTCATAAGTTATATAGCTTGCATAGCTATATAACTTCTGAGTAGCTGACGGGAAGCATAGTAGCTGAGGGTGTGACTAGTGATTATACGTAATACCCTGGACGATCTCAGTCACCAGCAAGTGAACGACCTCCACCTCATACATCTCAACCCCCACAGTGTGTGAAGCGACTTGGTGACCCAAGGTCTACTTAATCTTCAACTAAGGTACTTTTTAACTACATCTTACTGCTGTATACAGTCACAGACATCAATGGGTCCAAGTAGGAACAGTTTTTTGCTGCTACAGTACTAGTTATTGTAGAGGGCTGTCACGTTAGCGAGATTGCTTAGCGCATTTCAGTTAAGATGTTTAACTGTTAGCTCGTACAGTATCAGACTACATAAATATGATTAAACAATTGTATGTGATCAAGGTGTAAATAAATTGTTATTTATCGAGAAAATAAGGTAGAGATTGGACAAAACTTCTTTGTGTGTGTCACGGAAGAGTAAGTGTTTACAAATACAGTTTGGCTGTGTGAATTGGAAGTTGCGTTCAAAATGCAACACTACTACATACCGGTAACTGCATGCCTTGACACGATTCTGCATTACACGAGACCCACTCATAAGATTTAATCACATTTCGTTCAATAAATTGTTATTTATCGAGAAAATAAGGTAGAGATTGGACAAAACTTCTGTGCGTGTGTCACGGAAGAGTAGTAGTAAGTGTTTACAAATACAATATGGCTGTGTGAATTGGAAGTTGCGTTCTAAATGGCACACTACTACATACTTGTAACTGCAAGCCTTGACACGATTCTGCATTACACGACACTTACTCATAAGATTTACTCACATTTCATTCTGCCCCAACATCACCATGAACCCATTCACTGTTGTAAACTGACTGCAGCAGGACATTGACGATAGTACATGACTGTATGACTGTACGAGTCATAGCCAGGACACTACATGTACAGTATTTGCTGCATTAGCTGACATATTGGTTGGCACTACAGTAAATTAGCACATATGTGATCGCGTACAGTACACTTGTCTCAAGGACTCGCATGCGTAGTTAGTCCTCCCCCACTTACGACGACGAAAACTAAACGTACTAGTACCGTACTCCTGTAACTACTTGTCGCAGGGCTTACAATCTTGTGGCCATTGAAGGCATGCTGTGGTACTGGTGTTAGAGTCGGCACATCCTGCGTTATCTAGAGTACATGTTGTTTGAATGCAACACGAGGACTGTGGTACTGTACATGTACTGTATGAGTAATAGGTAGGACACTACATGTACAGTAGTGCTGCATTGGCTGATACTAACGTAGATGGCCAGTTTATGGTGCACGGGACAGTTTATGGTGTACTCAAATTGGCCAATGGAATTGCTTGATTTTTGGAGTAGCCAATCGAATCACTAGAAAAATGAAATCACTAAAAAATAAGCAAAAACAGCATACATATTTTAAGCTTAAACCGTGCACCATAAACCGTCCCTCCTATTTTGCCTTGACTTGAGTGGAATCGAAGTAAATGAACGCTAAGTTGAAGGCTATTCAAGCCGATTAAATTATCAGAAGAATGCCCAACCTTTCGGCTTCATGCAGCACTTTTCAGAATTGAAATCCCGGTCCTGGGAGACGAGTAAGCTGCATTCTACGACGAAGTCTCTTTCAAGTGCACCATAAACTGGCCATCTACGTTAGTACTAGTACATTGGTTGGCACTACAGTACTAGATGAACAAATACTGTATGTAATTAAATGATTTTACTTGGTAAAGCAATGTAGACGTTCTGCGGTGCAGTGGTTAAAGCACCCGCTTGCGAGACTGGTGTTCCGGGTTCGAGTCCCAGAAATAGCAACCCTATTGTAAAGTATATTCGTAATACTAGCATAAGGTTTAGACAACTCATTGGACGAATTTGCACTAATGGAATAGCTTACAGTTCGACGTGCGTACATTTGATTGGTTGTATTGTTCGTGGATGAAACTCCTGCGTATGATTCAATAAAGAGATGTAACGGACCATGCAACTACTAAATCATACTTCGAAGTAGCTTTTTGTTATCATGTGGGTCTTTCTTGCTACGATGGATTCTGCGCGCGTGGATGAGTTTAGGGCCACCCTACCCGAGTATGGCATTACACACAAGAACGTCATCAAGTGCAACATGGATCACGATGGTCCGGATCTGTCGCTAGCCAAACACCATGTCACGACAGTACAGTACACGCGTTATGTGAGTCCACTGTGCTATCCAGTTGGTGAAGACCAAACACAGCCACTACGGTGCCCAGGTTCGTCTCGAATTTCAACGTGTACTTTAACTCATATTACCACGGTGTAGGTTCGTATCGAATTTCAACCTGCACTTTAACTCAGATTGCCACGGTGCACCGAGATGGTCATCATGTGGGTGAATTTGAACAGAATGATGGTAATGTAGTACCCCGAAACCCAAAGGTACCACCTTTATATGGAAATGCATGTGTGCATGGGTGACGTTGCATTAGGTCACTCTTGAAATGAAAAATGCGCTGGCTACATGGATTGATGACGACCCCAAGCACAACCCCAAGACGTTGTTCAAGATGCTCAAGGCATCCATTGGTCAAGAAAGATTCGGTGGCATGCCATGTCCCACTTTGAAGCAAGTGCAGCATGCAGTGCACTACATGCGGTCCAAAGACCTTTTTCAGAAGAGCACCGTTCCTGCAGCGATTGAAGAACTCATGAAGTGGCGAATCACCGACAACGTCGAAGACCACGTGGCGCATAAACCATTTGTGTTTGATGTCGAGGAGGAAGCTGGTCGCTTCGCGCTTCGCGACGGTGGTATGCAGGCATTTCGCGTTGGTACGAATTTCATTGGTTAAAGTTCGTATGTCTCATGAAGTTGTCGTAGGATTGTCAACAGTGGAACTCCTTCGAAAGTACCACGCTGTGGTCACAGCCAACCCAATGAAGACCGTCATATGTCACATGGACACGACATTTTCGACGAACGTGCTGGGCTACCCCATGTTTGTATTTGGATACTCCGACATGGCGGGATCATTTCACCTTCTGTGCGTATGCATCACGTCGCAGCGGACCCACGCCGATGTCGCGTGGCTACTGCGGTCACTCAAGGAGAAGTTCACAAGTCTCCTGAATTATGCATGGGCGCCGACAAGACTTATGGGTGATGCAGACAAGGCACAATTCCTAGGAATGACCAACGCACCTTATGTGTTTTTTTCACGTCCTCAAAAATGTAAGTAATCCTATGTCATCATATTGTTATCATGGTTTGTTCTAGTGCTACGACAAACGCCAATGCATGACAAGCGAGGAGTGGACAAGTGTCACCTTTGACATTTACCTGTTGCACATGTCCACAAGTGAAGCCAATTTGGTCAACAACATGGACACAGCGCACGCAAACTGGAAAGGCAGCCGCACCCTACAAAAGTTCCGAACCTACTTTTTCAACACATGGCTGCCGTACCACGCCGTGTATTCAACAAATTGTGGGCCGCGGTTTTGGAAGTGGCAAGTGTTTCACAGCCATAGGGGGCTCGTACACCAACAACCCCAATGAACACTTCAACCGCAAACTCAAAGATGTATGCATATATGCACGTCAATCATAACCCTCATTGCATATATGTCTTGTTCAGGCAATCGGTCGTGTGAAGAAGCATGTCCCACACCTTGTTCAAGAAGTTGCGAAACTGGTTCTAGAAATATCAACTGAGGCGACACCTTGGGTGCAACATCCAGTCCAAACCGAGCGAATGAAGAAATATTTCAAGAAGTTGCTGGCGAGCCGGCGGCTTCGAGTCAACGAAGTGCCGCGCGTACGCCCTGTAACATGGCGTGTGCTTTACTTCCCTCAAGAAATTGCCGAAGGCGAGCAGGATGAAGGCATCCCACGACGTGTGTGGCACTACAACTCAGTGTCGCGAAACGTTCAGCGTCTTGAACAACCAACCTGATATTGGTGAGTCAATCGAATGCTCTGTTTATTTCCAATTAATTTTACGTTAAATAATAGGATGGCTTGTCCAACGAGTTCCGGCTCCAGTCCTGCTGCAGTGTCAGTGCCTCCACTGGACCCGCGATGGAATCTGCTCCCATGCCATCATGGTAGCGACCCAGACTGGCATGGTGTTGCTTGGCATCGAGCGTGGCGCACAGAATCTGGTGAGCCGAATTCGTCGGGGAAATGCTGAAGTCAATGTGTTTCCTTTGCGTGGGCGTGGAGACGGCAACATACGAAACCCAGTAGACTATGTCTAGTACGTAGTTGGATGCTGCACACCTTAATTTGAATACATGTTTCTATGTTCATTACTGTTACGGACACTAAAATTAAGCTACACGATAAGCACATTTAATTCCTATTGGTTAGACATGTTCGACTTTAGCCAATCGAAATCCATTTCTATTTTCAGCTTTTTATTTATCGTAGTCTAATTTTGGCCAATGTCAGCACTCTAAACAACGGAACCTTCGTATCATTGGATGTTTATCAAATATTGTCAGAACTTTCGTCCAATGACACGCGTCTATTTCCCTAGAAATTATCGGATACGGCACTTATTATTCCTTATTTACTACCTCTGTCCCACTTCGCATGTCGTGGGTTTTTACTTTCGGTTTTAAAATTCGAGCAAAAATCGTACAGAGTTGTAATTGGTAGAAATGGAATGCTCTGAGCGTTATGAGTCGACGATGGCCAAATTCAGGACATTCCGTTCCGAAATACGCAAAATATCCTAGTTTTACGATCTCATGGTTTTTCATTTTGTTTCATTTGAATAAAGTATGGTATGTACACAGTACAGGACATTGAAGTTCGACACCTACGGCATGAGGTAGTCGTGGACAACGACTTCCTCAAGATGAGGAACTTGTTGCAAGACACCAGTCGTGCCAACACTAGCTTGACATCACAAAGCTTCTGTATGTCCTGGCGATAAAATCTGAGCACTCATACACGGCGTCTGCCTACAAACTGTAGATGCCCCAATAATGGACCACCTGCTGACACCGCTGAACCACCAACGACAATGGTGCGGCTACAAGGCAGCCCCGTTGCGCTGGCGGTGGCAGCTGTGCCAGGAGAGTTGGGTAACTCAGCTGCGAGATGTTTCACACATGAACCTTTGCTTGACACTCAGCGCAAGCCGACATGGACGTCTGCAGCTGGAATGCTGTATCGATGGCGGGATGCAGTCCATGGAATGGTAAACAGTTTTGTCCAATTAACATAGGTCTAGCGTCGTTTTGGCCAATGGAATAAAATCACGACACTTGAACTGGGATTATTGATATTTGAAACCAGACATTGGAAGTGGGATAGAGATAGTATCAAGTAAGAGTACAGCTCACACGGGTAGAGCATTGGGGTTACAGCCCAAAGGTTGCGGGTTCAAATCCCGCACAGGGTATTAGTTTGGGGAATAATGGGGGACAATAGAATGAGCACTGCTAGGACTGCGAAAGCGACCACGGTGTAAATATTCTGTTGTGCAACGTTACTTCGCGGATTGGTACATTCGGGAAGCCATAATTCCGGTGGATGAAATGTCACACTGTCCAACAGTTGAAGCAATCACCACCCAAGTCCCAGGGAGAAGTAACAGCACAGCAGCTCATTCGGCGAATAATCTTTTTTACTTTGTGACAAGCGACAGTAGTACTAGTAGTACTACTGTCACAAAGTAGTACTAGTAGTACTAGTTTAAAATTGTGACAATCCACAGTAACATGCGGCGACTATAACATAATGACAACATGATGATAGCATGATGACAGCATGATTGCTGTATCACTGACGTTATATCCCAAGGGATCGATCCCAATTTGTCCGCAAGCTGGAAATGGATGGGTCAGATGTTTTCTATTTCCGTCCTAACTGTTCAGGAATTTTGGTGTGGATTAGGCATTTTTTGTGTGGATTGTGTGTTGTGCTCGGCGAAGTTTGTGTGGAACTCGGGATTTGTATTGTGTTATTCGGGTCGTGTGTGTTTTTCGTTAAAATTTGTGTTTTTTTCGGTCGTTTCTGTGTGTATTTCGTTATTTAGTGTTTGTCAAAAAAAGGTCCTCGCTGTTGCTAATGCGTCTCGGTGGAAGGCTATTGAGTCCAGAGCCCTCATCAAGGATCAATCGGAAGCAGCGTGGTACACCATGTACGAGTCGCGCAGTATTCCGTCATTCATTGCCACGAAGTCGATACCACCGGACGACTTTGATGACCTGCTTCGTGTCTTTTCTGTCAACTACACAGTCT